CGTAGTCGACTAAATATCAGGCACCATCTTTAGATCCTGACCGAGCGATTGCTTGCCGTGCTTCCTCAACGATTACTTTTATGCCCTTTTAATTAGGTCGTCAGTAACTTTGGGTCGGCGACGGATCCGCACGCCTGTAACACAAAGTAAGCATCAAAGAATCCACGCCTGTTCCTCATAGACGGAGGGGAACTCTGGCCATCACACCCTCATCCTCCTGCCTAAACGATGATTTCACCGCATTGTACCGCCTCTAAAGCAAAATCGATACCGAAAACGCGGTAAAAAGTAGACCGCGGAAAAACAACGAGGCGAGGCTTCCTCTTGTTAAAATGGCCTCGACAGCGAACGTTCTTCTTGAGTAAGAAGTATTCAGTAATTGTGCTCCTTCTTGAAGCTGAACCACGCTTATATCTTAAGCGCCGCCGGTACTCACTGCTTTTTGATTCTAGGTACTCCACCGTCGTAGCAAGTCATCATCGTCATCTGACGTCAAGCAGATGTTGAATAACAGATTTGAATAGCATAATTGAGTTCCACTTCGGTGAGATGTTGTACTTGGCATTATTAGTACTCTACATTGAAGCAGAATCTTAGCAGCACTTATTCACGGCGGTAATTGGATGTGTTTATGATACGAGTTTACGAGCATCTGTAAATTGATGATTCATTCTTTCGTCTGAAGACAAATATCCTAGTTTGAAAACGATTGGTTCGCTCTGAGCGGTAGATGCACCAGGAATTGTTCAGATCAACAGTCACTAAAAGATTATGGCTGGGTCATGTCTCGTGAAACCCTGTTTTGGAGAAGTCATTTACCGATTAACATGCTCTCCTTTGTGAACCACTTTTCCGATTTTCAGAATGCGTATGACGTCACTGATCCTGAGGTATCGTTAATGACCTGTAAACTATTGCTCTAGGTACTAGAACGACATAAGGTGCATATGTGTACAGATGCGGAAACGCATGAATTTGCGGCCTGTTCAAAGGATCCCTTAGATATCAAGGAACAAACAAGCTGTGCAATTTATGGCGCAGAGAACGACAAGAATTTAAGAGTTTTAAGAAACCGGCTCGAAATAGCATCGCATGACTGTCACAGGAAATGCTGCTAGCTGTCAGGATCAAAGTCATATTCCATCTTTTGATCTTAACGGTTCATAAGTAACGTATGAATGTCCAAGCTCTACATACACCGTTCCTGTATAGCACATTTTTCCCTAATGAATATTGGAATATTTTATCACTGTTTTAACGCAACTGCATTTCTTTGATGAACGGGTAAGTGTACTGTTGAAAATAGAAAACTCAGAAACTCCTCTTTGAGGCAGACTTTCTTCAGAAGAGAAGTATGAATTTTGCCTCAGCTTTGATTAGAATCTAAAGTAACATTTTTAACGGTCAGAGATCAAAAATCTGCATTATTTCCTGTTTAAGCGCTGTTATTCTCAGATGAGGATGACGGGAACAACAACAACAAAGGGCTGTTGATGTTTCAGATTTTCTTTACACAAAAAAATTGCCATCAGCTTCTGTTATAAACAGAATACATTATCGCTGGAGTGAAATTTCGCTGTTTCCATTCAGGTAAATTTTCGAAGGTTTTGAATAGGAGACTCGACCTCTTAGACGTTTCCAAAATTTCGAGTCCTGAGGAAGCTGAAAGATAGTGCCAGCGGTCGTCATTCCTCATTATATGCACAATGCCTTCAGTATCACACTGTGCATGAATATCTGAAGATAAACGGAAATCAGAAGGTTCAGTTATGGTTATCAATTAAAATTTAGAAACATCTGTCTTTCATATTAATAATTTTTCAATCAATCACTTTCGATGAACAGCTATCTTTTTAAGTCACAGAGGAGCACGTTTTAGACAGTGCTTCTGAAGCTTCTAATTCATTGCCAGTGTTTGAGTTTCGGCAGAAGATAGCCTGAGTCTGAAGTCCGTCAATGCACATGCTCCAAGTTATTCTTGGTCGTCTTTGAAGGTTTGGGCCGGTTCGTTTGGCAATTATTAATTAAGTTCCAGTATTTTTGAAATTATTTAAAATATTTTTTGAAGCTGATTTAGAGGATATGTGACTACTTACGAATTAGAAACAAAAATGTCAAAAATCTGGCAACTCACCTCAGCCTTACGCGGCTGTTTTCGTTTGAATTCATTCATTGACACTATATTTATTCATTGGGTCTGTAGAGGGTCTCTAATGGAATGTGAGGCTTTTCCAGCGAGAAAAAGATTAGAGATTCAAATCCACTAAAAAATTTCCATTTTAAGTAAAATAGTGCCTTTACATGAATCTGGAGTAAATGAAGTGGTCAGAATGAATTCTTCCAAGTGCCTTACCCAAAAACTTCTGTACTAATGCAACTAATTGCAAAAGCAAGAGGGTGCCAAGAGTCCTGCGTTTAATGGGACATGTCTTTTCGGAGAATGATTCCATCTGAGGTTGCTTCCTCTTTCCAGAGACAACGAAACTTTTCAGGATCGTTAGGCTGTATCAGCGGAAGGAAATACTGTTTCATGTTAGTTTGTCGCCTTGTCTTGATTTTTAGTCAGGCACCAGGGTCGAGGCGAATCGCAGTCATACGACGGACGCGTCAGGCAGCATAATCATGCGTTTCGTTCGCTCTGGCTTGACCACGGTATAATGCCATGTTGTCCCTGATATTCATGACTTAACGCCTTGCTACACGCTTCTCAGCTGGCTACAACGAGGCCAGATTTACGCCGTTATTGAGGTTTTAATACAGCATTTCGAAAATGCTAAGAAAACTAATAAGCTTGGCCCCAATACCACTCGTTAATGAGTAATGTTAAATTATGCATCCGCCCGCCAATCCAGCCATCAATGCGCTGCCTAAATGCCAAGTGTTTTCAACGGGGTCAAACAGCACCGGATTTAGATTTTGCAGGTCTCTGGGCTACAGGCACTCTTAAACTCCCAAACATTAATAAACACTTTCAAAGCAAAATTAAAGAAAATTAAATTTATTGTTACAAGGATTACGATTAAAATTCAAACATTTGCTTCGTATAATTTATTGGAAATAAATTTTTCCAAAATATCGAAAAATTGTAAGTTCCTGAGAACATAGTTTTCAGCTGCCATGATAAAAAGTCTGTTTAGTCGTTCCTGTGCCATTATCGACCTGTATATATTCTTTAGATGTTTCATCTTGGAGAAACTCCTCTCTCCGGTTGCATTAGTTATCATTAATGAAAAGGGAATTTGTAGTGTTGTTTCATAGTTACAGAATGAAGAAGGTAGTCCATCACTTACTACCAGGGTGCAAATATCAGAGCCCTGTAGTGTTTCATGCTTGTGCCAGAATTCACCAAATTCACAACAAAGTTCCTGTAGTTAAGAATCCAGGTTCGATATTATATTACCAAACTTCTGAAACTTGGATGCTGCTACTGAAATGGATACTAACCATTAACTGTTAGAAATTCGACCAGAAAGCCAGATGAATTCGCTAGTAGTAAATTCTAGCGTAGAGGCTGTAAAGTAGAGTTTTGCATATCTATATGCTTCAATGCGATGAGAAAGAGTTTAACGTGACTTGTCTGTGATGAGTAGGTATCTTTCCACTTTAAAGTTTTTTGTCTTCTTCACAAAGCAACATCTTCAGTATTATTTTGATCGTTTCGTTTTCTATCAAATGCTCTCATTTTGTTCGTCACAGTATTTAATACTTTTTAAATTGTCCTTTGCTTCGTTTTCAAACATTTCAAAGTGATCCCGCTGTAATATCCAAAATCCAGTTAGGATTAAATACGTTTAATGGCTGATTGAAGATCCACTGTTTCAGCTTGAAGTGATTTGCTGACTTGACTGAACCTCGCTAGTATGAGAAAATTGTTTCCTACTTTGATAACTGCTTGAGCATAGTGTTTGCCTCATAGCATATGCAACCTTCTGATTTCCCTCTTCTGAGATTGACCTAAAAGCTTCGTGAAAACAGGTCTAGTCTCTAAGGCTTTCGTGGCATCTGGTATCTGATGGACTTTGAGCTACCAATGTAGATTCACATAAAGTTTCAGCTGTAAAGACAGAGGTATTACTGACCAACCTTGAATTGAATCAGAAAATAAATTATAAAGTTCTTCTATAAGACAAAAAATGAAACTGCTCCAGTGCTGCTTTCCACAGTACATACATCTTCCAAATTAAGGGAATGGGCAGCATATGGAATGTAATGTGCAAGATAATTGATAGTGATAATAAGTGCTTAAATTTTTTTGTTGCATCCTGACATGTTTGATGCATTGTCATAAGAATATAGTCTTAGATTAGCCAAATCAATTCCAATTTCTTCGAAGAATTTCAAGACCGTGTTCACCAGATTTTCTCTAGTATGACTTACAATGGGAATTAAAGTGAGAAAACGTTCATCAACCTTATTATTTGATGTTCCAATACACCAGAGAACTACAGGCAGCCGTTCGGTGTGAAAATTGTCCGGTGTTGAATCAATATTTAGAGA